CAGGGAGAATGCTAGAAATATTGCTTGCGAGCTTAGGTTTGCACCATTTAAGAATATTTTTATTGACTGCTATAGAACATTCAAGATAGCCCAACAAATTGTTTTAACATTAATTTTAATTTTTTGGATATTTTCTTCTTAGTTCAGTTATTAATTATTTTTACCACAAAAATCCATTGGTTCACATGCCTGATAACATTGAAGGTTACCATCTTATGGGATACACCACTATGTGGTCTGCATCAACATTATCATTATTTTGGAGAAACATGCTATCTCCCAAGTATGTACTCTTTTACTCTGAAGATGGATGCTGCAGTTTCCTTCAAAACGTTTGTACTAACCTACTAGACTACATAAAGTTTCATCCCAGACAACTAATTTTCAAATATGCTACTGATCAAATGTATTCTACAACCAAAATCTGTCAGCACCTACTTAAACACATGGCTCTCTACCACATGTTTTGATATAAATGTGCCATCTTGAGGTGGGAAATTTACAATTGTCAATGAAAAATCCGTCGAGTGTAACAATGTTTTTAGGTCACTTATTTATCTCACTTGCCTTACATGTTTCGGTTCAAAAGAAACCATCATCAGAGGCACGTATTACAAACACTTGAAAACACTGGCGTTGTTTAATGTACACAGTATGTAAGCTGCGTGTACGCTGTTACAGGTGTCGAAGTGTAAAAGCACAACACTTTCTAGTAGCATTGAATGCACGTACTACTCTTGCATTCCATCTGAAAATTGCCCTCAAATTGAGCCGTCAGTGTTAAAATATTTAAAAGTTTAAAACATTTAAAGTAAAATGTTTGGCTCCTTCTTGTTGATTCGTCCCGATGATGGGAGATGTCAACTTGAGGTTATGTAGGCTTATGGTCGGATGTTTCTTACGCGTTGTGTGTTGTGTACTGTACCACAACACACAACGCGTAAGAAACATCCAACCATAAGCCTACATAACCTCAAGTTGACATCTCCCATCATCGGGACGAATCAACAAGAAGGAGCCGAACATTTTACTTTAAATATTTTAAACTTTTAAATATTTTAACACTGACGGCTCAATTTGAGGGCAATTTTCAGATGGAATGCAAGAGTTGTACGTGCATTCAATGCTACTAGAAAGTGTTGTGCTTTTACACTTCGACACCTGTAACAGCGTACACGCAGCTTACATACTGTGTACATTAAACAACGCCAGTGTTTTCAAGTGTTTGTAATACGTGCCTCTGATGATGGTTTCTTTTGAACCGAAACATGTAAGGCAAGTGAGATAAATAAGTGACCTAAAAAACATTGTTACACTCGACGGATTTTTCATTGACAATTGTGATTGATAGTGTAACGGACCAAAAATGAAACAATTCAAAATGGGAAATTTAACTTATCCAATCCAACTGTTGTCATCAATGGTAGGTATACATACTAATACTTCTATTATACAATTTCTTTATTAAAACTGTCACAAAACAACTATATCAAGGTCAGTGCCTAGTTTGGCTCTGCTACATGTTTTGGCTATTAAAAGCCATCATCAAGCAAATACATGGCTAACATATATACACCACTGAACTGCAGTATTAATAAAATTGGATACAATATTATTAATTATATTAAAATACTTGGCATAAAAACACAAACAAATAAGATTATATACAACAAAAGTTATAGTACAAAACAAGAATAAAATTCTTCAATTGATGCTTTACATCAGCGAGTCAGTCGTTGGTTTTTGTGATTTTGTTGTGTTCCCATGGACAAATTGGAGTATTCTATATTCTGTGTATATATAACAAACTGTTATTGGAGGCTCATGATGCAGATATAGTAATATTAATGTTAATTATTTAGTCAGTGCCTCATCTTACAAAGCATTGTCCATTCTGTAGGGAAAGAGAATGTAAACAATGACATTAAGACATTAAGAATGTCATTCACTTAAAATGTATTTTGATACTATGACTGTTAAAATCATTGAAATGTCCATAGGATACTACAGGTATACAACTTTACACACTAAAAGTGATGTCAAAATTTGTTGGACTGTCTTAATTTTACATGTATTTTCTTAGTTTTTTAGTTTTTCACTACATTTTTCGGCCTCACATGGACCATCATCAGGTGTATTTTACTCTCTGGGGAGACCACTGCAGTGTACAGCTGTATTGTACTAATACTTCCTTCATGTTGACATACCCAAATTGAGTTCTCTTGACATTTAGGGACTTTACATGAATTTACAGGGGGCACGCGGTGGCGTAGTTGGTTGAGGGGCTATGCTACAAGCCAGAAGGTCGAGGGTTCAAGTCCCGATGAGGTCATTGCATTTTTTTGCAGTTGACCTAATGCTTCCAGCCGCACTAGGCCCTGGGGTTTACTCAGCCTCTAACAGAAATGAGTACCAGGAATTAATTAAATAATTTTCCTGGGGAGTAAAGCGCGGCCGGCGCATAAGGCTGACAACCTTACCGCCATCTTTCAGCCGACTGTCTAGATGATGTGGGGCCCTCAACGTCTCACAACCCTACGGGCCTTCACAGCCTGGTACAGGGATAGCTTTACTTGCTTTTATATGAATTTACAACCCAACTAGAGTATGGGTTTCCTGGGTTGTAAGGCTATGTAGTTCAGAGAAACCCTGATGTTCCGGAGAAATTATACACCTCCGTCTTCAAGGATGAAGGGTATGCAAGCAAGAAACCAGCAAAAGCAGACAGCAAGCTGATACAAAATGGTGCTCTAACAATGACAGCAGTGCTGAAAGTGAGTCAGTCACTTACAAACAGCAATCTTTTTGTCTTGTCAGCTCTCACCCTTTGCCATGCCACCCTGTGATCATCACACAATCACACAGATACACAGAAAGTGCTCATCACTATCTTCCTGTCCCACTGTGCAGTGCAATAGTCTTGTTTCATGCGTTTCTTATATCTCTGCTTGCTGCCTACTTCTTCTGGCTTCCTGTTTGGCTTACTCTGCAAACCTGAAGACTGAGACAATATATTTCTCTGAAACATCATGCTCCCTTCGAATTAAGTGAAATTACAACCTGGATGATCCTCCTTGCCCTTATACTTCACTGCTCATAACTTGGCCCGTAAAACTCCTAAAATGTTAAATGCTAATCAGTTTGTCCACCTATTCTTCATAATATTGAGATTTAATATACAGAGCTACTATAAATGATTCATTCGTTTTTAAAACTCTATATTTTCCAAAGTATTATATGTACAAATATGACTGATATATAAAAAGAACCACAAACTCACCAAGTCTGTATGTGCACCAGTTGGCAGCACAAGTTCAGACCCTTTACAAAATGGCGACAAAGCAAGAAAAGAGTTTTTGTTTGTTCGAATATGCGAGATGTTCGTCTGTTATAGCAGTGCAATGCACATTCAAAAGAGAGTACGGAAAAGAACCGCCATGTAAACAAAGCATTTTGTGGTGGTATTGGCAATTTAAGGGCACGCTGGATTGGGCGTGTTGGTGAGGACGACGTAGCTCTGTTCACTTGGCCCCCAGATAACCTGATCTAATGCCTTGTGACTTCTTCCTTTGGGGGTACAGTAAGGATCGTGTATACATACCCCCACTGCCAAGAACACTAGCAGAGCTGAGGGAATGCATCGATGCTGCAGTAATGACCATTAACAGGATGATGCTACTAAATGTGTGGAACGAGCTCAACTACCGCCTGGACGTGTGTCGTGTGACCCAAGGGGCACACGTAGAACATTTGTAGAGTGTGAGGAAAACTTGGTGAGTTTACGGTTTCTTTTATATATCAATCATATTTGTAGGTGTAATGCTTTGGGAAATGCAGCGTTTTAAAAACGAATGAATCATTTATATTAGCCCTGTACATGCAGTTCTAGAATTATAATTCAGAACTAAAGTAGTGATATTCCGGACCCCCAGTTAAACTTCATGTATGTTTCAATTCTATGAATGGTATGTAAATATCCATGAAACCACATATCTATGCTCCAAATTCCATTCTCATCCTTTTTTTAATTTCCATGTTCACTTGATAAAAAAAACATATGTAACCTACACGCTGAATATGTGATATCACATATATTTTGAATTAAACATTACATAAGGCCAAAAGTAAAACTGCACCTCTGCTTAAAGATGACAAAATGGAGGAAAAAAGAGAAATGTAGAGATAAGTTCTATGCATTTTAGACCTCGGTGCTGGACACATACGAATTGTTCTTCATGCTCTAACCACTTTACCCCTGCAGGAATGCCCATGGTAAGACAGAATTTTTGGTAGCCTTCAGGGTTTTCACGCCATCCATCAAATCTTAGCACTATCCTCATAGCAAGCCAATTAATTTGGGCAAGCTATTACCTGAAATATTTAGTACTTAATTTGTGAGACTTTATTTCTTTTAAGTTATAGAAGTTCTTGAAGAATACCCATACTAGTAACTACCCATGCGGCTAAATGGCCAATATTTTACATATCGTCAAAAATAAAAGTTTAAAGAAGCCATACAACAGATCGCAATTCAGAATCTTATCTGAATAAACCGCGAATATTAAACTGTACTCTCTTCAAAGTACCTTGTACTCTTCTCAAATACCGAGAAAACAAAAGAAAAAATAGGATTATAGAAATCCCAAACTGGGATGACGTACTGCTACGGAAAGTTATTTACGTAAAAATTTTCTTTATATTATTTGAACATGGTCTAAAAAAATAATGACAACAACAGGTGAATGTCCTCAGATACGTCCAATTTGTTCTCATTCTTTGATACTATTACGTCTCTATGCATTAGTCATTTAAGTAAACTCAATAAATACTTGTAGCAACCTGTCATTACGTAATAAATGAAAAAGTAAACCAAATGCTCTTTTTGTTAACATCAATGTCAATGACACACTGACCGCATGGGCTAAGTTACAGGTGTAATGCGTTAATCATAACCTTATAGAACTAACATTCCATACTTAGAATTAAATAATACCACTCACTTTTTGTTTGTAGTAGTTCTTTTATCTTTCTATTAGGTACAAAAGAAATGGCCACCTTCTCCAAAATGTGGTACTTAGGCCGCTCGGTATCACTGCAACATGAAGAATAGGAAACACAAAAGCCGGTGGTCGTCGTCGTCATAGCGGTCATAGCCCACTCAGATTTTGCTTCAAGCGCATGGCATGTTCGGTCAAGCAGGCAACCGCTGTTACATAATATACCTCAGCTTCGATTATAAATTCATTTAAAATTACGTAGAATTTAAAACAAGATATAAATCTACGATCAAAATTGTACACTAATAAAATTTGTCGAAAAGCATTTCTATCAGTCTTGATATCAAAAATGGACTAAGTATCAGAAACACGTCGCACAATAAACATAAGGTTACACCCTTAGGACTCATTATGACAAAGCCATTCTCCATATCCCCAAGCCCCACCATGGTAATTTTGAATTGTTGCTGGATGTGAGGCTCCCACAGTAGTAACTACCTATACATCTGTGACCTATACCTACTGGTATGTCAATCAACATAACCCCGTAATAAGCAATTGATGTTACAAACATCTTGGCTCCATCTTCAGGGTCAAAGTATGCAAAGCAAAAAACCAACAAGCAATTACAGCCTGCTTCTTGCTGATATCTTGCTTGGCTTACTCTTCAACCTAATTATGAAGACAGGGCATTGTCAGGGCACTTTCTGTTGCATACCAGACTACAGAGCATTATAAGATAGCATTCTTCATAGGAACGTTCTTTATACGAGACTGTGACCACTTCCACATAATTCCTAATTGCCCTGTCTTGCTGTTACTCCTTATGAAGATGCAGTATTAACTCCTGATGTGTCTTGCTCGCACGCACGCACACACACAGTTTTGTCAGCAGATCTGTAAAGTTTCGACACTTTCAATGAGAACAGGAGCATAAAACAATGAAACTCACTAAAATTTCCTCTTTATGTATTTGCATATATATCATCTATTAACAGGCACCATTATAATCCTGGGCATTCCAGTTTTAATTGCATTTACGTGGAAAAAACTGGAAAAAAATTGTTTTACAAATGAGGGCCAGATTAGAACTTTTCAAGGCATGGGGCAATGATATAGATGAAACTCACCTTAATTTAATAACATGATGCGGAGTCATCTCCATACCTGAAACACATCTTGTACGTGCTCTCCTAAGATAGTCTCACCTGCCTGCTATAATTAAATGGTCATACCTAAGACTACATGGAACATATCAACAAATCAGGAATGACAGAACTCTTCATAGCCTCCACTGTGAGATCCTCAAATCCAACAATTTTGTCTTTCATTGTCTGTAAAGTTTGTTATTAATAGGGTATACAATGGGACATACTTGGAAACTGTTTTACAATAACAAGAGGTCAACTTGTAAATTGAAATTAAAACAAAATATGAAAGAGGACATGATAATGATCATAAGTGCAGATTTTGGATATATTTCTTTCCAGAAAATGCATGGCTTCCACATTCTTTTACTTTATTAATGAATCATAGTTTCAGTACAACCATTTTAAGAACATTATTACGACAAACTTAGTTCCTGTGTACTGGTACCACCTTCCACAACTATCCCACTCAAAAGGTATCCTCCACCCCCACTCATCAAGATGTCTGGGTGAGTGCGGCTCGGCAGGACCTGATGGGAGCGAAGCCATGTCTCTGTGACTCGAAGCCCAACAGTACTGTTCTTTCCCTTAAGTTGTACATATAATTCTAAAAGTGGTTCTCTACATGGGCAATATACAATAAATGGTCTTGATGGGGCAATATATGGCAACAGTGCAGTCAAAATGTTGGCAGGGTGTTCACGAGCAACGATTACCAGGCCATCTGCTTTGGACAGCCTGAGAAAGTCAGCTGCTTTCTCAGTTTCCTGCTCCCATCGGGGCTTCTTTGACATGTTTTCATCTGTGTCAGAGTGTTTCCTTTTTTTCTCATTCACTACATCTAAAGCGATTTCCTTTTCTTCCACAATCTCATTATCTTCCCTTGAAGAATCCTGTACCAATTTGTCATTCAGAGAATTTGTTTCACTTATCACACTTTCTTTTCTATGCATTACATCACTTGAGAAATCTTCAGTCTTTATTACTCCACCATCATTTTCAGATTCTGACACAAAGCCTTCATTAACGACAGCCTCCTTCTTGGGTACCTGAACACCATTTTCATTTTGCACAGAATTTTCCTGAAGAAGCTTTCGAAGGAAACTGTATATATTAACACTAATAAGGCAAGACATTTTGTCACTGCTATAATTCATTGCATAGATTGCTTGTTTCTGAGGGAGATTTCCTGGGTGGATATGGAGAAGTCGTCCACCAATACTGATATTGTTCAACATTGCAGATGCAACAAGCCCCTGGCATCCACTCTCATACAACATGTACATACCATGGGAATGCATGCCAACAATGGTTAGAATCTGCGATAATGTATCCATGCGAAGACCCATAATCTTCACTGGATCTGTACGGTACATGACCTCAGATATAAGTCTTATAGTTGGCCATCGAACTGTTATGTACTCAAAGTATTTTTTCTCTTTCTTTTTTAAGTACTTCTCTTGAGAGTATTCTGTTTTGTCACGAAATGTCTTGCTGTTCTCTATCAACTGTCCAACAATAGCTTGTCCAGACAACCCACTTGTACGCAAACCAATTATCTCTTCTGTCGATAACAACTGAGATCTACCGTCATCAAATATGTTTCTATTATCTGATCCACTTGACACATCTTTTTTTAATTGTTCTGCAAGTGACTCATACTTGTCACATTCTTTCAGCACAAAAACACGTTTTCCATTCTTTTTGGGTTCCATTTTGTAAGTCTTCCATACAGGCCTCCCAATAATGGTTCCCAGTTCTAACTGATCTTTACCCAACATTACAGTACCTTTCAAAGTCACTTTATGCAATTTGGTGTAATTCTGTCTCTGGATAATTATGTAATCCCCGACTTTTACATAATTTTCTTCCATTTTGTTGGTCATTCTTGTGGTAACCCTGTAACAGAAAAACATAATTTTAAACTATTTTACATTCATTACAAACATATTAATTTTGAATCAGTCTGTGCCAAAATAGCAGCCATAGCTATAAAAAAGGAAAGTGAAGAGATATCCCATCAAAAGTACTTCCATTTGGAATATGTTTAAAAGAAGATACACAAAATTTGCCTTTGAAAAATCTACAATCTTTCAAAATTGATGAGTCAATTCCCAAGAGGGTGCAGACTGCATCTTCATGGGGGGAGAGGGAAGAAATATCTTGCAGAACTCAAAATATGCTTTCACTTTGGTTCTTGTATGAAAGTGTTCCTAGCAACACAGCGAACTGGTGAATGAAAATTTTTGGATACATTGTACCAAAATCACAAATTCAACAAGCCTCTACTGTAATGGCACCTGCATAAGGATGGATGGCTGAGGTGTCACAGGGAGTAGCTATGAAAACTACTGCAGGGAAGGTGAACACATGAGGATTAGAATGTAACTGGAAGTAAATATCATTGTTCATGTGGAATGCATTATGACATCATACACTTCAGAAGAAAGAATAGTGTCATCTCACAAAATAAATTCATGTGTATAAATGCAGTACAGCAGTGACAAATGAATACTTACCACCTTCCAAAACCCTTAGCTTAAAATAATTCAGTATACTATTCATACACCATGCACAAAAGAACTGATCAATATTTACTTCTGAGGAACTCAACGTGTCTAAACGGAATCAGTGGAATGACCTAAAACATCTGGGATTTGCAGTGTGTTATATCTGGAATGCAGTGTATAGGGCCTTCCTTTTACTGCACAAGAATGGCCAAAAGAATTGGGGAAGTCTATTAAGGTAAAAAAGTAAAGGTATCCCTGTAACAGGCCGTGGAGGCCCATAGGGTTGTGAGATGTCGAGGTTCCCACCTTTTCTAGACAATCGGCTCACAGATGGCGGCAAGGTTGTCAGCCCTACGCGCCGGCCGCCCTTTACCCCCAAGAACATTCCAAGAATATTCCTGGTACTCATTTCTATTAGAGGCTGAGTCGACCCCAGGGCCATAGTGCGGCTGGAAGGATTAGGTTAATTGAAACAAAAAACAAATGACTTCATCGGGACTTGAACCAGCGACCTTCCAGCTTGTAGCACTGTGCCTCAACCAACTATTCTACCGCGTGGCCCGGAAGTCTATAACTTACCCATAATTTGGAGATGGTAACACAGGAAATGGGCATTACTGCATTAATATATCCTTCATATAATGAACGTGTTTCTCTTGATAAGAGTTAGTTCGCATTTAACACTTTGCTGGGGTTCAGATTGTCAACATTTCACATTCTTTGGATATGCTTACCGTTCAGTATAAATTTCTAAACATATAACTGTTCGAAATTTTATTGCTCCGAAGCTTTACTGTTCGTAACCGTCTCGATAGATCGCACATAAACCACATAAATGCCTGGATTCGCAACACGAGCTCCGCTCGTACCTAGTACACACTAACTTTACAACACAACGCTGTACCTGAACTTTGGTGCCAATGTACGTAGATCTAAAGTCAAAATCCGCTTAACACATCACCTGGCAATATGTAATTCAATGCAGGATATTGTTTTAAAAAGAGAACAGATTGCATCCAGATTCTGAATCACAGACACGCTTAATTCTTTGCATTAAAATCTAACATATTAAAACTGAAATACGCAAAGCAGACACACGACAAACATAACCTAAAACCTACAAAACACCCGTGTTTCACTAGTTTCAAATGACAGCTTCAATTTATACGAGTGACTAACGTAAATTTCTTTGTTAATACTAAACTGGGTATACACATGTGTGCGCAAGTATATTTACAATGAAAGAAGCTACAGCCAATAGGTAACATGCAACATTCAAACAGAACTTTCAGTTTCAGCCATTGGCAAATCTGACCACTTTCGTACACTTACATGACCTACAACAAATACATATTTTCCAAGGTTTCAAACGGGCATTTTTGTCGTGTTCCAAAATGAAGTGTTTTTAACCCAACTGTTACCAACTGAAAACGATACACGGGAAATTTTCCGAATTTAAAGCCATATGTGGTGGTTATGCATAGTTCTATCTTATGGGAAAACCATGGCCATGTGCCCCAAAAGGCACAACTCATTAAAAAAGGCCGGTAAGTCCAAGTCCACGAATTAGATGGGGGGGGGGCAAGAATTATAATAGTCGCAATAAACCGACAGACCGCAGAGTAACGGGTCTGATGACTGTTAAATTATAATTGTAAAGCAATGAATCATAAGCAAACTGGATAAGACCATGTTCCTAAAGTACCCAGCATCAACAGGTAGGCTCCTATGTAAAACACCATAGTTTAAAACGTCATGACTGGCCAAACCTCCCACTTATGCAAAGATGCCCAAAGACTGCTGTGCTACACTCACAATTAATCCCAAGCACAAAACATTTTCTTTGGGATGTAACTATTCCCAGCCACACACCTCAGGAATTCTCCAACACCTTTACTCTTTATTGCTTCCGCAGTGTGAGCACCCTCTGGAACTTGTGAGCTTTGAAATCACAAAATGTACAAAACCAGTTTTACTGCAAATTCATTTTCCTTTGCTGTTCAACATCATTCAAATATCTTTTCATTACTTTACAAGGTGAAAGAGAATAGGGATCCAAAGCAAGGCTACAGTATCCCTCCACTACCCTTTTCTCTCGTGAAGGTCTATATTTTATGATGTACCAATTTTCTGTATGATGAAATATTTTTCTGAAAACTGTAAAACTTATATCTGTTTCATGTAAAGTAAGAGGACTGATATGAACCAAATTAAAGTCATCTGAAAACATGAAATGTCAGTTCTATATTTGTAAATGTTATCTTCCCATAAGCCATTTATGTAATGCACTCATGCACGGAACACAAACGTAATAAATAACTGATGACTGAGCCATCTTGGAAGCCTATCGCCCAGAAAAACTGAAATAGCAATAAACACTTCTTATGAGACAGATGCTTTGTCCTAAGGATACAGTATTCATAATAATTTATTCTCAAAAATGCAGAATTTACAGTCACATTTCAATTTATGAAAGTATTGACTACATATGTACACAACAGAAAGATGTTAATAATAGTCCCTACTATTCAGTTTACAAATTATAAAATAATGCTTCAGACTATTCCACTGCAATGAGTACAGAAAAAACAAAAATTAGAGCATTTACAGAGAATGAACACATCAAACGTAAATAAATTAAAATAAAGTCAGTTTATTAAGCAGAATTTTAAAACCAACAGAAAATGACGGTGAAGACACACAACAGATTACAGCCAGAACTGAAGATATGATGTTAGAGGTAAAGTTGTCCCTATATTTAATTAAGTACAACACAATGAAGATGAATGGGGAGTGGAACAGAGCTTCACAATTCTTGACCTTGACACTAGATGGAGGTGAATGGTCAGCTTTACGCCCCTGCCACTTTACCTCTGGGGAAGGCCATGCCATAGCTCAGGTGGTTAGTCACTGACTTCCCACCGTGGCGGCCCAGGTGAGGTCATGTGGGATTTGTGGTGGAGAAAGTGACACTGGGGCAGGTTTTCGCTAAGTACTTTGTTTCTCCTGTCATTTCGCATTCCACTGAATGATCCACACTCATCATCTGTCATCTAGGGCTGGTACAACACACCGAACAGTGTCTGACATACCAAGTGGATTCAGTCTCATCCCACCCCAAGAAACTTAAAACAAAAACTACCCCTGGGGAAACAATCCCTGTACCCATTGAACAGAATGCTGCATGAGCCTCAGAGCTGGTCTGGATATTATGGAGATAAGAAAAATCTTGCCCTTGCCAGAAACTTGAAGAATGAACTCTTATATTACCCCCTTAAAAAAAGAGAGAAGAGATGCCTAGGTAGACTGGAAAGACTGTTTGCCAGTAACAGAAACAGGAAAGAACAGCTCTAATAACGGGAAGGATCATAATTACCTGAGAAATTGAAATTAAAAGCACTACAATTCACATGAGACATCATTCACAAAACATAAACTGCTGGGTCACTGCATAGCTGATTATGAATGAGCTTGTGAAAGAGCTTGGAGCCCTTCTCTTTTCCTAACCAGTCTCCTTCCAGAAGGGCTGACATGAAAAGAGTTCTCAGGCCTGTCTACCCTCCCACAGCTTGCAGTCCATCACCCTGTCAATTTTTCTCAAGATCCATCTTCTCTGATCCAGTTCAGCCTTTCTACTGGATGTCTTTTTGTTCAGTTATTTATGGTCATTTTGGAAAATATATCATCATTTGCTTCAGTCGGCAAAACCATTTAAGTCTAATTGTTTTTAAATATTTTTGTAATTTATAAATATTTACTGTATTCCTCACTTTTCCGTTTCTATGTATATCTTCTCTGAATTTTGTAATTATACTTAATTTTGCTGGCTTTGAAGTACTCATGGCAGCAAGTGTGAAGGGTACTATAGTCTTCTGGGTTGAATGTTGGACTCCCAGTCCATGGACATCTGTCACAGCAAGACACTGTTGTCAATAAATAGTAATTACATGACAGATATCTAACATTGTAAACAAAATATTTCAGTTATTGATGTCGATTGTGACCTGAGTCTGTGGACAGTGCTGCCTCCATCTGCAGGGTGGAAGTGAGAAGGGTCATGACTGGTGCACAATTCAGGTCAATGGGACAATGCACAGGGAAATGTTATAAAAAAACCTTTAAGCGATCAGCACACCAAAATGTATCACCAACTGTGTTCCCAAGTGATCACTGATACAAGTTCTCACCAAGACAATGCTTCTTAATTTACAGTGCTCTGGGTTGAGTAGCATGAAGTGGCAAAGTGTGCTAACTGGTCAAAGGTAGGCTGTGACAGAAATGGGAATGAAAGGAAGTGGGGAATGGTGTACTGTAAGGGGGAGGGGGTGAATCTCCTTGTGGAGTTATTACAGGTGTTCTTCAGTCTGGCATGGGTTTCGTGGGAGATCATGGTTGTGGTGTCACATGATTTAGCTGACAGAGCTGTCATGCAAAGGTGTTATCTACAAGCAACATGAAGTTGGAATTAAGATATACTGCACATTTTACAAATTTCTCCCCAACACAGAAGGGAAGGTTTATCATGCTAAGAACTATAATAAAATAGATTAAAAACGCCAAGATATGGAGGACTTCCATCCAGGGATCAAGAAATACAGTGCACCCTTAAAAAAAAGTAAAGCTATCCCTGTAACAGGCCATCAGAGCTCCCATATTTTCTGCACAGTTGACTGACAGATGGCGGTGAGGTTGTCAGCCTTATGCACCAGCTGCCCTTTAACTGCAGTAAGATTCCTGGTACTCATTTCTGTTAAAGGCTAAGTCCACTCCAAGGCTATACTGTGGCTGGAAGGATTAGGTCAATTGAAAAATCCAATGAACTCATCAGGAATCGAACATGTGACCTTCCCTACAGTGCAGTCTTACCAAGGGCAAGTTAATGGAGACCTGCATATGAAAATATGTGATTGACTGATTTATTTTGTCACTGTAGATCATTGTACATGATATAGGACAAGTCAAGTTAATTCTGAATATTAACAATTTAATATATGAGTAAGATTAAAATTACAATAGTTACAATTGTTTACAGTTAATTACAATTTAGAATTAGTTAGATATTCTTATTTGTGGAGAATTTGATGGAATGAAGATTGTAAGAAGCAAACTGCTAATTTACTGATGTAGGTTTAAATTGTATTTCCATAGCTTTACTTCTATCAAGAATTCTGTTTGTTATCATATTTGCTCAAATGCAAACATACAATGACACCACACCTTTGACCTTCACCTGTTATTAGGGAGTTGGGAACGTGAGACACTCAGGTTTAACTGATGTGGGCAAAACTCAATCCTCAGAGAATGATGAAGGAGTCTGGATTTAAACTTGAAAGGTTATTTATTGAAGAACTTAAATATTGGGCACTATTTATTAAAACTAAACTGAATCACAGTCAGCCAGCTAAGTTTCTTACACATGCAACAAAAGAAATGCACCTGAACCATTCCAAGCAGTCTTCAGCAGAGATGTTGCCTGGTCACTCTGATGCTACAAAAAATGCTCCAACCCCTTGCATGTGATTCATATTACGTGTCAGAGTGTCAGCTTGGAAACCCTGGACAGGAGACTGATGCTTTCCCTTTACTGTCAAACTGCTGACTGGCTATCATCAGTGAACTCAAGAAAATTCCTGAAGAACAGTGTATTAAAACTGTTTAACACTGCAATACATTATTACAATATCTCACCTCATTCATGATTGACATAAACACAAATTTAAATTCTGACCAAGCAAAAAAAAAAAAATGGGGAGTAAATTAACAGCTTTCATCTATTTTCAAGATAGCACAAAAAATCACCATCAGTATACAGTTATTCATACATTAACTCTCACCTGGCAATCATGATGTTCACTCAGTTTCTTCACTGGCTGGATGATGTAATGTGTTAATGACCCGTTCAATGTTCACACTGTATACTGTGTGAGATGGAATAACATTACGATGAACCTAGTACAAAAATGATATAAATAGACTAGTGAATGTAATCATTATGTCATAAATAAATTACAGAGCCCAACTATATTACTTCTTTCTCCTCTTTCCTGTACTCTTTATGTATCCAAATTTTCAACCTCATGAATTAAATTCCAGCATAACAGTGAACAGTCCAGACTGTCAACATAACACTGTCGCTACCAATGAATTGACTCAGCTGAGGTACAGTCTGGTAGACCTAAAACCTGGGGAAAATCAATATAGTCACTTAACTGGCAGTGGTAATCAAGTATTTTTGGCTAGTAGTTATTTCCCAATCACTGTTTGGGAGATGAACTTCTGGAATTCTGATAACCTTATTTGGACATCTGTGACAAAGGAAATGGTGAACCATATCCAAAAGAGTTATGATCTCAATGTAACTAC